TCTTTTTCTTTGTATTAATATAAATTGCACTTATCGTATCTAAAAAACTTAAAAGACTTCTTAGAGCAAAAATTGAATTTTGTTTCAAGTCATCAGAAAGATTAGATATTTCAAGTTGATTAATAAATTGCGGCATTCGACTTTTAATATCAAGTTTATAAATCTCTCTAAAGTTTTTTTCAGATCGCTGGTATTTCTTATAAAGTTCGCGCTCGCTAGCTGTAAATTGACTTTTTAGAGTTATTCTACTAGTCTTTATTTTTCGTTTAGATTTTAATGTAAAATCATTGCCATTTGTTTGTATGTTAGATAAGATAATGATTTTTGGTTTTGTCCCTTTGTCTTTTTCGTTGTTATCATTTTTGTAAGAATTGTTAAAAGAATAACTACCTTCAGAGGTATTTTTTAACAATACATTATTAAAATTAAATAGAGCATCTGTTTGAACATCATTTAGTTCATTTATACCATTAGTTTTTAAGTAATAATTTTGATTTTTTGATAAAACCAAAACATTATTATTTTTCTGTAAAAATGCATTATTTTCTGAAGTAACATATTGCTCTTGTATTAAATCATTTTGATTTTTATGTAATAATAAATTCTCATTATTATTCCAAGATGAATAAATTCGAGAATGCTCTGCTGTATCATTTCCACCACTATTTGAGGTTTTGAGACGTTTTGTGTCATTTCTTGATTCTTCTGACGCACAATGATGTTTTTTAGATACATATTTAATAACTGTACTTCTTGTAAAACTGGGTGGCATCAAGTTGTTCTCTTCAGTTATTGAAGACGACAAATTACATAGATCATAATCGACATTTTTACATCTATTGTTTAAATTCTTACCTGTAAAATCTGTTAATAAATTAGAATCAGATTGATATACATCTATATTTTTATCTTCTGTTTTAGTCGGTTCTTGACTCTTTTGTTGTATATCTACATTCCCACATAACCCTTCATTTTCGTATGCTCTTGAGGTACTTGATATATTTATTCTTAGATCTAATGTTACATTATTATCTAATATTTGTTTTGAACAAAAAATTATTTGAAACAAAAATAACATTTAACGGGAGAAATATTTTAAAAATTTATATAAATTTACAACCACAATATCATTTTGATAGAATAATTTCAATATGTTACACCTCATTAAGATCAAAAAAGTTAATTATCACAAAAAATATAAATTAATTTTTTAGAAATTTATAATGATAAAGAGAAAATTCTAACTTAAATATTTTACAGTAAAAAAATTATGACAGAAATGTAAAATTGATAATAAAATAATAACAAATTAATTAAATGTGTGGTGTTACTGCCACCGAATATATTTGAAGACAAAATTTATTTAATTATTATGTGATAAATTTTGTCACAAATAGTAATCATAACTTTAGTTGGAACGATGTTTGTTTTAGAAATAACTTTGTAAAAATTGAGCTTTGAAGAAAAATGCTTTCTAGTAAAAATTATAGTTTACTGATAATATTTTTCTAAAAACTTTTTTCTTTGTTTAATTTAATTAGATTAAAAAAAATGATTTTAAGACTGATTATATTGTATATAATAAATAAAGGCAAAGGGTTTTAAATTCATTTAGTTTTTCTTGCTTTTGCTGCAAAGGACAGTATACAATGCAGAGAGTCAAAAAAAATTAAAATATTTTTCTTTATTATAATAAAC